CCCTCTCCCTCTCTCTCTCTCTCTCTCCTCGTCCCAGCAACTTCAGTTCAATCCCCATGTTGACATGACAACACAGCCCGGGCCGAGAGACGGGGGTGTTGCCATGGCGACGAGTGGCCCCTCTGGATTGGGGCCCGGGCTGTGTTGCAGGTTGTTCTGCTGTAAACAATGAGCTTGTTGTGTGTGTGGAGCTGGAATGCTGCTACCGGCCAGAAAAGAGCCGAACGGGTTTTACATGCACCGCTGACTCCAGAAAAATAGACAGCGTGAACCTTTTCCAGACAGAAATCATGCGATGACACTGACCAGAGTTATTATCAGTAATTACAAGACCAAAACTATGAAACTAAAACTAAAACAAAAAAAAAATGTGTTACTTGAAATAAAATAAAATATAAAACGTAAACTTATTTTAATTCACTAAGTTGCCAAGGCAACATTTCTAATTTTGATTTAGTGTAACCTAAAATAACTAAAAATAAAAAAATAAAACTAATGCATAAAAAAATCATTAAAAACTAAAGTGACATATTAAAAAAAGAATAAAAGAGCACACAACAAAATAACTAAAACTTTAAATTTAAAGTAAAACCTTGTATATAAAAATAATATTAACAAAAAACTATAATAGTATATTAATGATACTAAAATAATATGGATATATGATGGATTTTAAAAACTTTTCTTTTTTTTAAAAAAGTTTTCTAGACCTAAAGTTTTTTTTTAAAAGTCATGGAAATTTCTGTATTGAATATATACATTTGATCTAGCTATGTCAAGCTCTATAATATATAAATTATAAATAGAAATAGTTGAGAATTTGTAATGTAATTGTTGTTATTTAAAAATACTTTATTTAATTATTTTTAATACATTACCATTTCTTATAAACAATTACTTGGGAAAAAAAAGTATGTATTTTTTTTATAAATAAAAACTTATATAAATGTATTTAGTTTTGTGTGCGGTTTTCAGCGCTGATGTCTGGAGCTGTGCTGTTGAGTTATGAGTTGAGTTGACGCTGTGATGGAAATGCGTCTGTTGTCATCAGCGCTGTGCCGTTTGGACGTGTTTACAGCTGTTCACTCAGTCCAGCTGAAGACCAGCGCCGGCTCCCGGGCTCCTGAGCTCCTGGGCTCCACAGCTGTGCTGGTCTTCAGCTGCAGGCCCAGCTGTCTGAGTCACATGACCACGGCGCTGGAAATAGACAGCACTCAGTAACTCTAGCAGCTCTGCGGCGTCACCTTACTACTGAGTCATTCTCTCCCCGTGACCCGCCGCGGGAGTCCCATAACACACACACACACACACACACACAGACACAGACACACACACACACACAGACACACACACACACACACAGACACAGACACACACGCGCTCACTCACACACACACACGCACACACACACACACACACTCACTCACTCCCTCACACACGCGCACACACAAACACACGCACACTCACTCACTCACTCACCAACAGGACTCATTCAGAGAGCTACAGACCCGCACACACACACACACACAGACACTCACACACACACACACACACACGCAAACACACACGCGCACACACAAACACACGCACACTCACTCACTCACTCACACAATTTATATTATATATATTTTTATATATATATATATATATATATATATAATTTATTTATTTCAGTTAGTCACAGTAGCAAGGCAATATTTAAAAATTGTATTGACTAAAATAGTACCAAAATAACTAAAAATAAAAATGAAAAATTGGCCATTAAAAACAAATAAAAAACATTTTTTAATCTTTTTGTGATTTTTGTGACCCCACTGGCATGTGTTTGTTTTGTTTTAATTATAAACATTTCAGAAAACATGACTCAATATCTTTTGTAATTTCGCTTGTCAAGTAAATGTATTTAGATTTTTGTACTGGAAAACTAGACAAAATACTAAGTAAGAAAATCATTTTCTGCAGTGTATATTTTAAATGTGTGCATGTTTTAGCATGTATATGAACTAAAAACCACAGATTCACAATGCTTAATTAAATTTAATAAACTTAAATTAATTTCAGGCAACTTTGCTAATTTTTGTTTAGTTAATGAACTAAAATGATGACATTTAAATAACCTAAAATCTATAAAGGCATATTAAAAAAAAAGAAATAATAATAATAATTATAAAAATGGCAAAAGCACACAACAAATTCACAAAATTAAACATAAAATTTAAAATATTGAAATAAAAACTCATTAAAAAAACTGTAATAGTATATCAATAATAATAAATTCAGGGGAGGGGCATTCTCATTCTAGAGAGCATTTGATTGGACAGAAAATTGCAAGAGTGCAAGCTGACTTAATTAATATTTTGACTGTATATTTTAAATGCATCCACGTTTAGTCAATATTTGCTGCCTGTGAGCAGAAAGGATGCTGCATCATGTATTGATGAAGCTGTGTGTGTGTGTCTGTCTGTGTGTGTCTGTGTGTGTGTGTCTGTGTGTATGTCTGTGTGTGTGTGTCTGTGAGTATGTCTGTGTGTGTGTGTCTGTGAGTATGTCTGTGTGTGTGTGTCTGTGAGTATGTCTGTGTGTGTGTGTCTGTGAGTATGTCTGTGTGTGTGTGTCTGTGAGTATGTCTGTGTGTGTGTGTCTGTGTGTATGTCTGTGTGTGTGTGTCTGTGTGTATGTCTGTCTGGCTGTGTCTGTGTGTATGTCTGTCTGGCTGTGTGTGTGTGTGTGTGTGTGTGTGTGTGTCTGGACATGGGGTAATGTCCTGAAAAGTCACCTTCTCCTTGTAATACCTGTCATACCTTTGTCATTATACACATTTATGTCCTCATTTGTCACAAAAACGCGTACACACACTCACACACACACAAACACACTCACACACACACACTCACACACACACACACACACTCACACACACACACACACACTCACACACACACACACACACTCACACACACACACACACACTCACACACACACACACACAAACACACTCACACACACACACTCACACACACACACACACAGCTCACTGAAAGTCATTAGAAGTACTAGTGGCATTAAAACAGAATCACAAACAGATCATATAGAGACACTAAACAGAAACAGCTCCTACAGCATATATGTTTGTCAGTGTAGTGAATTAGTGTTCATTTTGTCAGCTATTTTTTTTATTTAGTCTTAGTCTTAGATCTGTGTCAAATGTAACTTTTAGTTTTTATCATATTTAGTCAACTTGGCCTGTTTTAGTTTTAGTCGACTAAATGTCTTAGAATTTTAGTCTAGTTTTAGTCAGTGGAAACTTACACATTTTCGTCATATTTTCGTCTTACTGTATAATGGTTAAAATGATTTTAAAATGCTTATTTTGCTCAATTCTAAATGCAATGATTGTTGTTATTTGTGAAATGTCTTTTTAGATTTCGTCAGAAGTTGCTCTTTCACCAATAAGCACAAATCAATAGAATATCGACTCGTATGCATGGTTTATTTCACCTCGTCTAACGTTAGTGTACAGATTTATATAAATTAGAGGCTAAAAAAACACCAAAGACTTCGGATATACACTCGCTCTGTCTACGTTATGAAAGCTGGTGTAACAAAAACCTACTCTCAAATATTATATCAGAGAAAATCCTAATAGTAATTCCAAATTGCATTAATGTTTCTCTTTTAAAACGACGGCAAAAAAGACTTATTGCCGCACAGAGGTTGCGTAAGTAACGTTACAATCAGCAAACAATACAGTCGAGATCCCTGACAGAACACAGACTGCTGAAGGACACTTTCATTTAAGCAGAACACCTCAAACGGAGATCGCTGAACGCTAGCTTACTTATATGTCGGTGTTTTCAGTAGAAATATAGGCCCTAGCCCGGCCCGGGTCCAACAGCTCATCAGAATTCTTGGCCCGAGCCCGTCTTTTTTTTCCCACCTTCTCCCAAAACAGCTTATACTGCTGTTTCAGCTATTAAAATAGTTCAGTTTTGTATGTAATGTCAAAGTGATTATATTTCGCTTCGTTTTTTTTTTATTAAGTTAATTTAGAAAAACGTTTAAGTTAATTTAGAAAAACGTTTGGAGCATTTTTTTTGTTCGTTAAACGTAAGTTTGAGTTTTTTTTTAAAGTAACGACCAAGCGGCCAGCGGCAGACAGTGAGTTGATCTTAGCCTGTGTTTGATCAATTTAGCCTTCTCAAATAATCACGACTTGCCTAAAATAAAATCTGTAGATATAAAATATTTCAAGCATATCACAATGTTAGTTTAAATGTTTTACCTAGGCTATATAAATGTGCGCTATTAGACGCATATCTATTCGTTTGTGCGGAGAGCTAAAGCGCGCTTTACAGGACACGGAGGCGCCGGCGCGATCACTTGCATTGGAAACAACTTAAAATATGACGTAATTATTGCTCATAAAGGTAAGAGTAATACCATATTGACCCGAATATAAGACGATGTTTTTTTCTTGGAAATGCATCTGAAAAAACGCGGTCGTCTTATATTCGTGGTCTAGCCTTTGACATATCAATAATACACCCACAACAATAGGTGGCGCCAAATACGCATACAACGAGTGTGCCATGAAATACGTCATGTAATGTGTGTTGTAAAGATCTGGAAAAAGGGGGGTCGTCTTATAATCAGGGTCGTCTTATATTCGGGCCAATACGGTACATCACTCGGAACTGTAAAGGGTCTACTTTTATTTGTGTGCACTCACAATATCAACAAAGCGTTGTGCTAAAACTTGCTAAATATATCTATAGAAAGCTTTAAATTACTACTTTAAAACTAAATAATTCGAATCAAAAACAAAAACTCTTTTTACAGATTTTATACAATCCGTAAAGATGCATTTTCTCAGGATCAGGGTCGTCGTCTTCATCTTTGCGACACGGACTCAGAAAAAAACTAATTTATTAATAAATAATTCAAATATCTCATTAATTATTAGGTAATTACTTTTGCTGGGGCTTTGCGGCACGCTTTAGCCTATTGCGTGCGTTTTTTGCTGTCATGTGCAAGGATATGTTTGCAGATTCTGCGCTGCACATGACCAATTGACTCACTGTTTGCCGTGGTAATCAAATCAAGACTCTTCCAAAATACAGCTTTTCTGAAGCATTGGGAACTTTTAGTAACTCCCCACTTCTCCCTGATGCTGTGTGCATGGTCAACTGTCACCTATATGCTAATGCGTGTGTATGTGCATTGCGTATAGCGTAGGCGATGTATAATATTTATAATATAATCAATATAACAATATTTCATATGCTCTGCGCATATATGGCACAATAAAATGAGAGAAGCTAAATGAGCCCGATTCCGACCCGAGCCCGATCTGTAAAAAAAAAAAAAAGGCCCGAGTCCGGCCCGAGTGGACTCAGCGTGTCGGGCCCCGTCGGGCTTGCAGACCTCTAGTTTTCAGGTCACGGCGCCTCTGATTGGGGGATTTGAGCTCTGGATATCTGGCAACCGCAAACTCGAACGCTGGTATAATAGAGTCTTGTACAGCAGTCTGAAATGTTGTGGCTCCACTTTTTTCAACAACTACTACATTTTAGTCTCGTCTTTTTTAGTCAATGATAGTGCATGTTCATTTAGTCTCAGTTATCGTGTCATGACCTAATTATCGTCTCGTTTTCATCAGGGGAAAACTTCGTTGACGAACATTTTTCGTCGTAGGTTTCGTTAACATCACTAACAGTGTAGTGAAGCAGAAGTGTTGTGTGAATGCTTGACGAGGACCGTCTTCTCTGTGTTCCTCAGCTGGTTCCTCCGTTCAAACCGCAGGTGAGCTCAGAAACAGACACCAGATATTTCGATGAAGAGTTCACAGGACAGACCATCACCATCACGCCGCCGGGACAAGGTACCGACAGTCTCCTCAAACACACTACCTGTCAGAAGTTCTTGAACTGGAAGATGTGTTTTAAAGACGTCTCTTCTGCTCACCGAGCCTGCATTTATTTGAGCAGAAATACAGCAAAAGCAGTAATATTCTGAAATATTTTTACTATTTAAAATAATTGTTTTCTATGTGAATATCTGTTAAACTGTAATGTATTGATGTGATGTGCAGCTGTATTTTCAGCATCATTCCTCCAGTCTTCAGTGTCACATGATCTTCAGAAATCAGTATAATATGCTGATCTGCTGCTCAAGAAACATTTATTATTATTATTATGTTGAAAACAGCTGAGTAGAATTTTGTCAGGATTCTTTGATGAATAGAAAGAGCCAGAGATCAGCATTTATCTGAAATAAAAAGCTTTTGTAACATTATACACTAAACCATTCAAAAGCTTGGAGTCAATGTATTTTTTTGGGGGGGGAGGGGGGAGAAATTATAGAAATTAATACTTTTATTTAGCAAGGATGCTTTAAATTGATCAAAAGTGATGATAAAGACATTTATAATGTTACAAACGATTTCTATTTCAAATAAATGCTGCTCTTCTGAACTTTCCATTCATCAAAGAAACCTGAAAAAATTCTACTCGGCTGTTTTCAACATAATAATAATAATAATCAGATTTATGTTAAAACATCTCATGATGCAATACTTAGTACATTTCCTACTTTTAGATCTGATGAATTATTCTCTTTTATACTGTCCACTATATAAAATAAAATGTTTTAAAATAAAATAAAATATTTAAAAAAATATTTTAAAATAAAAAATTATTTTAAAAATAACCTATATATTTTTATCCTTAATTTTGTTGTCTTTTTTTAACACAAAAACTAAAGAACACCAGATTTTTTATTTATTTATTTAATATATATATATTTTTTTCATTGAATTGATCAAATACAGTTTTGGCTAAATTGCATTGCTGATTATTTCACAACGTTCCACACCTCTCATGAGCTGGGCATTTTATTTAAGTATATTGAAACACAAGTTTAGAGTTAATTAAACATCAATAACTATGATCTAAGCACATTTCTGAAGAAAATCTCTTTTCATTCGGTTTGGTTTGTACAGAGCCCCACACATAACATGCAAACAAAAATATATTTATCATGGCCAAGAATTAAGAATCCGTTCCCACATTTTACTCATTCATTCCCTCGTTTTAGTAAATCCTGGCTACGCTATAATAGTTTTTTCCTTTTTTTTTTCTTAAAGGGACAGTTCACCCAAAAATGCATTCTGTCATCATTTACTCTCCAAACCCGTATGAGTTTCTGTCTTCTGTTGAACATAAAAGAAGATATTTTAAAGAATGTTGGGAACCAAATAGTTGACGGTAGCCATTGACTTCTATAGAAAACTATAGTTATCAATGGGGAGCAGCAGCTGTTTGGTTACCAACGTTCTTTAAAATATCTTCTTTTGTGTACAAATTAGTACCACAATTAATACACCGGCCTGACAAACACCTGCACTGTAACTGTACATATGAGACCCTGCAGCACAAAAGCAGTGTTGAGTCGCTGGGGGATATTTGCAGCAATAGCCAAAGATACATTGTATGGGTCAAAATTATTGATTTTTCTTTTATGCCAAAAATCATTAGGATATTAAGTAAAGATCATGTTCCATGAAGATATTTAGTAAATCTCCTACCGTAAATATATCAAAACTTAATGTTTGATTAGTAATATGCATTGCTAAGAACTTCATTTGGACAACTTTAAAGATGATTTTCTCAATATTTAGATTTTTTTTGCACCCTCAGATTCCAGATTTTCAAATATTGTGCTATCCTAACAAACCATACATCAATGGAAAGCTTATA